AAACTATCTACAGTCATTCAAAAAAAAAAAAAAAAAATGCTCAAGAAGATATAGAATAAAGATAAAGTTTTGAAAGTGCACTACTTACTTATACAAGCTTAAAGCATCAGGAGACTGAGAGATTTCCTGAAATTATTTGTACTAATCAAAAATGAAATTATCAATAGAAAGTACTGATATAAAGCAGCATAGTAAATCAATTTCTTCATAATAGTAGTACTTCAAGAGTAACATTTATCAAGGATAGTGAAGGTACATATTAGTAAGATCAAGATTTCTTTTTTAGATAGGTTATAACAATGGATAAGTAAGGACAGATTCATTGAATAACAAAGGTTCTATACTTTATATTCCTTTCTTATAGCTTTTTTCTTTTCAACTCTTTTCAACTTTAGTTTTAAATACTCTTAAAAACTTCTTTAACTTGTTTGATTACTTAAATAAATATCAAAAAGAAAACATAACATAAGTAGGATAAGACAAAACATAGAACTAAAACTAAAAAATACAAAAACCATAATATAAAAGTATCAAAAGCAATTGAAAAATAGATATTGTACTCTTGACTAATGAAACCCTTAAAGAGTATTCAGCTGACAGTATAGAAATGGTAGTAATAGTATAGTCTTAAATGTCAATTCTATAATGAAATATTATTATTTTTCTCTTGTTAAGTCTTTTTAAAATGTAAGTAAAATTCTTTTTACTATTAATTTTTATATGGCTATTGTTTTCAATTACTTTTTCTAGTAGTAAATAATTGTTCAAGAAGATAACTATATAAATATAAATCTCATTCTATTGTGTTAAGATAAATAAATCAGATTTGATAAATATATTAACACCTTAAAATTTTTTTCATTAGTCTAATGTTTCTCTTATTAGGTCTTTATCTGAAGATATCTTAGCCATAAGGGGATTTTTTAATTTATAATTAGTTTATTGGCTTATTATTGCTTTTTTTTAGTCAAATGTATTTGCATAATAAAACTCCCTTAATAAATTTGATTAAGTTAGCATAAAAAAAAAAAAAAAAAATTCAAATCAATTTTCATTTTTAAATAATTATATGTAACATTATCATTAAAAGTTTAAGTCTACTTACTATGTTTTTATTATAAATTTTAATTTTGACAATTTTTAAATTATTAATTATACATTCAAAAATGATAAAATTTATATATATTCTATTTTAATACTAGTTTTATTTATTATATTTTTTTCAAAAAATTTTTATATATAATTTTTAAAGATTTATTATTGTTAAAAAATTTCTTTCTTTATTAAATTTTTACTTTTGAAGAATTTTGATTGGTTGTTATTGTAAATTATATAATAATTAATAAAAAAAATAAAGATATTTAACAATAATAAAACTTTAGAATGTATTAATAAAAATTTTTTTAAAAAAATATAAGAAATATAATAAGTATTAGGATATAATATACTGTATATAATTTTTATAATTTTTGAATAAATAGTTAATGATTTAAAAATTATCAAAGTTGAAATTTACTGTATAATAAAAATATAGTATGTGGAATATATGTTATTATTATTTACAGTATAAAGAAATGTTTTTTAAATAAATAAAAAAAGTAAAAAATTTCTTTTAATATAAAAATTAAATTAAATAAAAAAAAGATAAAAAATTGATGCAATTAAACCAGAGCATAGCCCGGGTCTATAAGAAACAAAGTTTATAGATTAATTTTTTTTTATCATTTACTGTATATACTGATATGCTAAACTGTATATGGATAATATTTTCAGATATACTGTACTTGATTTTGTCAATAAGATAATAATGATTTTTGTTTATTTACATACAATATTTTTAATTAGAGTTTCCGTTTTGTTACTGGCATCGTCAATTTTTGAAAGGTGAACAAACTTCTGCGTGAAAACAATACATAAGCCTTGGTTACATCAATCATATGTGGGTCTTTCACACAAAGATGAAACCTTGGGGGTTTAGGATGGGTCATTTTCTGAAACTACACATGACATACACCTGACTTTCAAAACAAACAAGATGAGCGAATATCATGTCACTCTATGGCCAAAGCAATAATGCACGCATGCGCTTCCGTCGCTGTGGGAGGTTCCGAAAATTCCGAAAATTGTTATGCAAGGGGCGGTCAATACACGACCAATGTATTAAATTAAATTTTACCAAGGAAGGGTTATCGCCTTTGAAAGTGCTGGGATGCCAAATGTGTCGAAGAAGGAATAAATTTCATGTACGCCTAATCCTAGGCATGCTCTTCGTGGGAATTGTAATAAGTGCCGCTCAGTTTAACGATGAAATTATCGGCATCAGATGTCCGGCCGGGGTCACCAATATCGGAGAAATGCCAAACAAAAGCGTTCGTTGGTCACCAATTCCACTGGGACCAAAATAAGACGACTTGTGAACTTGACACATCCTCCTGTTGCGCTTCGATTATTTTGTCTATCATACCTGTTTCATTCAGGTTATTAGGTTCATTTCATTCATCCATTCAAATCTTATGGTCAAATATAATTTGCAACATGAGGAAGATGTAACATTCGAAGTCCTTACAACAATATGTTAATCTGTTCTTTAAAAAGTACCTATAATATATATACCGTATATGTTGTACACGCTTGTTACAAAGAAAAAAAAAAATGCAAAACGAACCCCAAATTTGATTGCAAATCGGAATGATTCGCGTGGGTATTCTTATATCCGGATGGATCACACACTTACAAAGGTGCATTAGTGATTTTGATCGGATAGATCATTATCTGTGATCTCATGTAGTTGTCGTTAGAAAGGAGGATGACAACTTTAATTAATCTTTTCGCTAAGCGATCAACTAAACCACATAGGTGAGTACAATATACAAAAACAGATGTCGCAATGCACGTGCATGACGAGCACGTATGTTATTCACGAAACCTGGTTATTGGATGTTGAACAGCGTGAGTGCATGCATAATTGATAAACAATGTGATACACCGTGTAATACAACTCAATATTTCACATACGCGCAATGGAGGTTGTCCATCGCACCCTAAGTGCGGCGCGTATGTCGGATGCTCCGTAAGTAATGGTGCGCGTATGTAAGTGTTATTCCGAAAAAAGATGAAACCCAAGATGGTGGTGATATGAATTGTTTATAAAACAATTCGGCAAGCGACGATTGTATGTGCAAGAAAACTTATCCACCCATTCTCACGTTATAATGAAATTTAACTATGTGACACGAAAGTACGGTGGCGTTAAAAGTGTGAGTAACGATCTTCCTAATTTGCAATGACACCAGGTGACCTTTTTAAGAACCACGGTTCCAATATGTTAAAATTCATTTCACATTTGTGCTCCCGAATGATCCCGGAGGTTAGTACGTGCATACGTACGTACGTACGAAAGGAAAAGTGCGATTATGAATGGTTGAATGATTGAATAGGAAATACAACGTATTACATATTCCAAAATTATCGTCTTTCATCGGAAGGGACGTCGTGAATAAGGGGACAGACAAGATCATAATTTTGTTGACCGAATAATTTAACTATTATTAGCTCCGGCAATTTCTGATAATCTAATTGATTGGGAACTGGGGCCTTACATGCGCGAAAATAGACCACTATTCTGTTTACCCTTCCTTTACTTTTACTACTACTCTTTTTTTTTCTTGGTATATCTACTGTATAATTCCGATTGACGATGCCCAGTAGGAGGAAATTTCCAAAAAAGAATTCAAACAGGAAATCAACAATTCGGTAATGCTTTTGATTGGTGAGTGGAAATTCTTTTGACCGATGACAAATAAAAGATCTTCGGCTAGAAAGAGAAAAACGGTGAATCCAAGATTGTGAACACCGACGAAGGATACCTTACAAATAAGGAGAAAAAACCATGGAGGTTTATAAACAAAGTAATACAAATTTATTAAAAAAAAAAAAAAATCCATTTTTTTTTTCTTTTTTCTTTTCTTTTTTTTTTTTGACAGATCAAAGTTTTGATTTAACACAAATCTGCAGGAACTGCGAGTGTGTGCAAGGGAAAGGAAACGACCGAAATCAACAGTCCAACCATGCAAACGCACGTAATCCCATTTATCAAAAATGATGACCAAGCGTCTACGCGTAACCATTACAATATCACCGCTTTTTCTTAACTTGTCGATTTCGTTGTCTGTTTGTTTATAACAACAATAAACGCCTTATAAAAAACTTCTCAGTTTCTATATTTAGCTAAAGACAAGATCACCCAAATGGTAATCCTAACAACTCCGTGTATGGTCGACCACATCGTCTATTCCGGAAGTACAATAGATGTTGTTGGAAGTTTTGAAGTCATACGGAGTAACGCAAAGCATCACGTAGTTTCACAAGCACATACTGTACGTACACACACACATATCAGATACTGTGTTATCATTAGCGATGCGATTACGATTAACACAAACCCGCCGCACCCAATAAATGGTCACCTTCCTCATCTCTCCCTTCGATACACGTGACGAAAGCTTGCATCAATTTGATGGGAGTTAGCGTTAACAATGTATGTGTGTGCACATAAATACTGACTCCTTTCATATTAGGGGTTATCCTCTGAGATAGGATTTCCTTTCTTATCGTTTGCAAGTGTTCTTCTCTTTTTCTTTTGATAAATGGGTAACCCAAACGAGTTTACCAATTGAACTAACTGTTTGGCTGACCAATGATAATGACGATAGATAATAGAATGAGCAATATAGGTTACCGTATAAGTAAATGCGCACACCCTCATACCATAATTTGTTATTTATTTATCTTTTAAGGTTATCATTATTCTCAACTAGATGCTAACGTTTTTTGTTATTATCCTAGTCGGTTGTTCATACGTCATCAGTTGATTTTGGACTCCGCAGGTATGTACGCACCCGCAGCAATGAAAGTTCAAGCATTTGAAGAACATGAGCGAATCATGTGTTATAGGTAATGTGTGATTAAATTATTAAGATGAACACTGATTATTATTATTATTATTATTATTTATAAGCGATTGATGTCTGGTTTTTTTTTTTTTTTTCGTGTCATCGATTTCATCGGATATCACCTTTTAATGTGTGATCCTGATCAACGGAAGATGTTACTCGAACCTCCCAAAGTGAATTGTGTCGAAGCAACGCAAGTTGACTGAACTTCCGACGAACTATATATAGCTCTCGAGGAAAGTACATGCTTTTCATTTCTTCGAAAGCGAGACATCGCAAGCATCACGCCCAACTCCTTGCTGCATCTAAATAAAATTTATGCCCGAAACAGATTATTCCTCTAACAAGAATTCATTTGACATGACATGTTTGCATAGAACCGTACGCAAGTGCGTACGTACCTAATATATGTATATATTCTTTTTGGTCAAAAGAATATCATTCATTAGAAAGATCGTGTTAATTATGGGAAGTTAAGATCATTTCCGTAGGGTGGCTGAATGTTATATATACGTATAAAGATTAATTGTGCAGATTTGCACACGCATCTGGTTTGTTGTTTTGGATTTTTTGATTACATATGGAATGGTATATAAGTCGTAAACTAATTACCGCCCTGGGTTCTATTAATATATAATACGTATTTCATATAATAATAATAAATAAAATAAAATAATAATAATAAATAAATAAATAAAAAAAAAAAAAAAAAAAAAAAAAAAAAGCATAAAGTAATACTGCATATTTTGTTCGACCTACCACAATATAGATTGGACATTTTTTGATCTATATTACCCTTGCAATTTTCAAAACCTTCTGTTAAAAGGTTACTAACTTCCCTTTCGACGCAAGAGAAACGATGCCCTTTATTTGCTCTCCTTATCCAACCGCATAATTGATATCATCTTACTTTCATTTTCTCTCTCTTTCCGTTCTCCCTTGCCGCCTCTTGCAAATATACACTACACAAATCTCTCATCTGAGTAATCCGCGAAAAGTGTAAAAATTGTACAAAAGCCTTGTTCATATTCTCTAGACTTTTTTTTTTTTTCTGGAAATATATAATTTTTTCTCTTTAGACCTCTCTTATTATAATATCCTTATTTTCTCTTTTACTTCTTGTCATATTTTGTTTTCTCGCATCGCGGAGGAAAAGTTATCCGTCTAAAGCTTTCGCTCGGTTATTTTTTTTCTTGCGAGTGTATAAAAAAAAGGTTCTTTATTCACAAAAATCCTTTTCAAAAGAAATAATAAAAAAAAATAAAAAAAAAAAAAAAAACTTAATAATATAAATACCCCACTATAAGTAAAACTCCTCGCCTTACTCATATAAAGATGATCCCTCGCGGTATTATGGACGACCAATCGTCCAAGAATAAAGATGACCTGCACCAACCAAAAGCGAATAACAAGCCGCAAGGACAGGTATGATTTCATTCAATTTCCAACAGTCTGGGGAAGCCTCGGTTAACCAAATTTTCAGCGAAAATTTTCTTTTGATGCAAACGAAGCCCTTGAACCGATCTCGTGACTAACTAACAGGCTCATTTTTCTTCCTTTTTCCTTCAAACGTTTCGTTCCTGGTTCGGAAATGAAAAATTAAAGCTAGCTGCGCTGTTGAGAGGAAAACTCGATTACGATTATGACATGTTCGGAACTCAACGGCAAGACATCAGTCGTTCAAACAGCGCTCCACCAACTCAAGTCGCAGATCAGTTTGGTCGGTTCGATCCTTCAGAACTCGACAATCCCTCACCTTCCGATCCACGCCTAGACCCGGAATATCCGGCGTATTATTACATGAATGCTCGCCTTGACCCAAGACTTCCTCCCCCTTTGTATACGCCCGGGCAGTCTTGGCAGTTATGGGCTGGCGGTGGCATTGGTAATTTAAACCATAAATCTAATGGTGCTCAAGCACCGAAGTCTAAAGTCTTGGAAAAGTTCAGAGGAATGGGTGAGCATTTTGAGGTTTTTCGAGGTGGTTTTTTGATCCGCGAAATTGAAATTAATCGTTCAACTTCTTTGCTCCAGACGCCGATGATGATTTTCTCCGTGAACATCCATTGGATCAGAGTTTGGAACCCGAACCCCATTCGACGGCTGGACAACAAGAATTCCCCAACGAATCGAGCGGACATGGAAGCCAGTACGAGCAATTCGGTAACCAGGGCGCAAGCAGTGCTGCGTCTCTTTGGAGACCTGAAATAGCGTCACCTCCGCCGCAAGGATTACCGCCAGTCAACAATGACCCGCATTCGCCGAACAAACGAAAGAATCTGGTAGAAATGATCCAAGAGGTTAGTTTGCATACGGTTGAATATGCTTGCTCTCTTTTTTTTTTCGAGATGCATCAGTGATTTCTTCTAAAAATCGAGCAAAGAAATCTTCGTCAGTCGCGTCTATCGCATATTTATACAAAAAATAAACAAGTTTTTTTCTAAAAGAAAAAAAGCAATGACATTCGGTTAAATGTGGTTCCTTATCTCCAGGATTTCCCACGAACGCCTTCTCCTATGTATGCCCTTCAGCAGGCTCAACGACAAAGACAAGCAGAGATGAATAACGAAGCGTTTGACGTCAATGGCCTTCGTCAAGCTCTTGAGCTTGAAGAGTCTCTCGGTCGCTCAGGTTACTATTCAAGTGGGATGCGCATTCCTCAGGGTGACGAAGACCACATGAAGTCCTTTGCAAACTCGGCTTTAGATGGTTCGGAAGATTATGATCGGATAGGTGCTTTCAACAGAGGTGCCTCTCCCCCACCTCTTCGTACTAAATTCTCCCCTCCTCCCCGCGCCTCTTCGACACCGCCCACACAGAATCACTTCCGCAATCATAGCCTCAATTTCTCTCAGGAGTTCCACGGTGATCTTTCTCACGCCGATTTGTACAACATCAAGAGTCTCGAGGGAACTGTAAGTTCAAGCAATATTGTCTTTCTCCACTCCCCGACAGTTGTTGTTGGTTTTGTTTGACTCGTTTTTTTTTTAAAAAAAAAAAAAAAAAAAAAAAAAAAAAGGATGACTATGCCGATGCGCTTCACATCTACCGACAGCAAGCACTAAAACAGCAGCGCTTGAAGATGCAATCTCCGTACAACTCATTGTTCAACGAGGGCTCCGCATCTTCCGGATACCCATCTCAATACGGTCTTGGTATGCATTCTTGCATTTTCATGTATATCTCATATCATGCACTTTCTTTCGTGCTGACCTTTTCTTTTTTTTAAATACGGGAAACCTCGTAGACCCATTTCCGTCGATGTGGGATGCACGTGAGGAAGCTGCAATTGGCAGGAACCTTATTCCAACCGACGTGCCGTATTCACGAAACGGATCTCTGAGTCTAAGTTCAGGAAGAAATTCAATTGACTATCAGAAAGCTCTTCAACAACAGCAGCAGCAGCTCGGGTTAGGCAACTCCGGTTCCATTGATTACGGTTCAGGCAAAAGTAGCCCTTACTATGGATCCGGCCTTGGTACGTCTGCTCTAAGCCCGGTGAGCAGTCTTGGGGGAACTCAACTTAGCGCTCAAACTCGCGCCACCATTGCGGAAAAGAACTTAAGATTGCAATCACAACAATTATTGCTTCAGCAGAAACAATTGCAACAACAACAATTAATGCTTGCGCGAGAACAGTTTTTAAGACATCACCATTCCGCAGAGTACCTGAACGGAATCGGTGGGTATAACAGCATTTCCGGTGGTCGCCGTAGCCACGATTTAAGTTCCAGCCTTTCTGACCCTGGTCACGGCATCCGGAGTCCTTTGTTGGAGGAGTTCAGGAATAACAAGAACAAAAAATACGAACTTAGGGTCAGTTGCATTACATGTGTCTGCTTTATTGTACAGAGACGATGAAAACCTTCCCAAGGTTTGCGCTAATAATACTTGGTGTCGCTTACAGGATATAGTCGGTAATATTGTAGAGTTCAGTGGCGATCAACACGGATCACGATTCATTCAACAAAAGCTTGAGAGCGCCAATAGCGAGGAGAAGCAGTTGGTCTTTGACGAGATCCTTCCAAATGCCCTTCAGCTGATGACCGATGTCTTTGGTAATTACGTTATTCAAAAGTTCTTTGAATACGGGAACCAAATGCAGAAAGCCATATTGGCGAAACAAATGGAAGGGCACATATTGTCTTTGGCCTTGCAAATGTACGGATGTCGTGTGGTGCAAAAGGTGAAAAGATTTTTTAATCGTTTTCGAAAGGTTCCGTGCGAAGCTTGATGCTAATTTAATTGCATATAGGCGCTTGAGCATGTTCTTACCGAACAACAGGCCACCCTCGTGAAAGAACTTGACGGTAATGTGCTTAAATGCGTCAAGGATCAAAATGGTAATCACGTCATTCAGAAAGCTATCGAACGCGTCCCCGCGGAGCACATTCAGTTTATCATCAATGCTTTTCACGGTCAAGTCTACAATCTTGCGACGCATCCTTATGGCTGCCGCGTGATTCAACGAATGTTCGAGCATTGCACCGACGAACAAACTGTAGGGAGTCGCAAATTTAATCTTCGTTATCGTATAGGAAATCATTATACTAATTCATTCGCAAAATTTCCTTACAGAAGCCCCTTTTAGAGGAACTCCATCGATATACGCAAAATTTAGTTCAAGATCAGTATGGAAATTATGTGATTCAGCATGTGCTTGAACGAGGAAAAGCTGCCGACAAATCCATGGTCGTAGCCAAGGTTCGCGGCAACGTCCTACAGATGTCCAAACATAAATTCGCCAGCAACGTTGTTGAGAAATGCGTCGCCTACGGAAGTAAGCGTGACCGTCAATTATTAATTGAGGAAGTTATCCAAACAAAATCGGACGGGTATGCACTTTGCGCCTCATCTTTCCTTTGCGATTCAGCATTATTAAACCTGTGCCTTCACGATCTTTCTTCGCAGCACATCGCCACTGATCTCCATGATGAAGGATCAGTACGCTAACTACGTGGTTCAAAAAATGTTGGACGTGGTGGACGGGGACCAACGCGACCTGCTTGTCGCCAAAATCAAGCCTCATTTGCAGTCGTTGAAGAAGTATACCTACGGGAAGCATCTTATTTCAAGTAAGCTCAGTTCTGCGATTCACGTCAATGGCATGTTGTCGGCGTGATTTTCGGATATGAAGTTCACATCATAATTGTCATTACGTAAAATGTGTTGTTAGAAGTTGAAAAGCTTATGATCCTCACGGAAAATCAGAAAAACCAAAATGGTAGTCTTCCTACCGTTGACGGGGCGTCAACTGGAATCCTGACGCCTGGCTCGCTCACACCACTCGACACCGGCGACAACTCCCCTGTCTTGTCCTCACCGGCTATTGAAGCACCAACTCTTAGACCAGAAACTAGTTCACACATCGCCAATCCTGCTCCTCACCCTGAGCAAATTTAAACGGGAGACGTTGTAATATACACACATGCGACCTCTGCAGGATTATAGACTCCTTACAATTGTTATATAATTGCAAGCTTTAATTTTTCTTTCTAGCATCACATAGTAGGGCTTTTTTTTTCAATTCGGAATCAGTCTTGGTCTGGAACTTAATAGGAAAGCCAGAACCTGATTGTCATTATCCTTTATTCTTTATTTTTCTTTTGCATGAACTTTATTATATCACCTAATTTCCTCGGTGGCGAATGCGTAATTAAGGTTTCCGTCATCAGCAACATACAAATCTCACTTTTTGAACATATTTTTTCTTCTGTGATCCTTTTCACTCTTTACTGTACATGGTTGTCCATATAAATCTATACATATATTCCCTTTTTCTTTCACCGTAGTATAGTATATCCCTTTTTTATCTTCAAAATTTCTTTCTTGTACTATTTACTTGGTTAAAATTCTTGCATTTCGCAATTTTCTTTTATATTTCTACTTTTTTATATCTTTTTCTCGATTATATATTGAAATGAAACTTACATGTCTCTCAAAAATTTCTTTATAAAGTCTCAAGAAAGTGATTCGTTTTCACGGGGATGGGCAATGTGTTTATGGCAACGTTGACTTCTTACGTTCTAACTTTCAGGGAGTTATTTTAGGCCATATCTGTCGGGGCTAAGGAACGAGTTGTACAAGCGAATTTGTTAAGGGAATAGTTATTTAGATTTGGATATATTAGAGACCACGGGTCCCATTTGTCCATCACCTCAGAACTCCTTCTTGCAAGAGCTTTTTAAACTTACAACCATCAAAAAGAATCTGTCGTCTATTTTAAAAATTGTTTTTAACGATTTCTTTTTATAAATGTATAAATAGTTTTTTATTTCCGATATTATTCTCTTGCATTTTAAAGAATATTATTTTAGATACCAATATCTTTGTAATTTAAAAAAAATTTTTTTTGATTACTATTGATAAAAAGTATTTTCTTCTAATTTTCTTTTAATTCTTTTATCTTGTAATACTAATATTTAATTATCATTACTTTAATAAAGTTTTGTTTTTTTTTTTAATTTCCAAAGTAAAAAATACACTATATTGCATCTCACAATATAACATTTTGATATATATTGATAAGAAGCTTTGAGACTTTAACGAGTGATTTTACTTTTCTATAGTATTGTAAGAGATGGAATTTGATTTTGAGAAACTTTAATATCCTAATTTAAAATTGTAGTATATAAAAAATTTCAAATAAAAACTTGATTCCTAATAGTTTAAGTATATACTGCATATATATTTTTAATCTGTAATCCCGTCATCATGATATATCTTTATTGCGACATTAAATAAATATTTACAAAATTATATAAAATGTTTAAATATCAATTCATTTATTCTTAATTGAAGGATTATATCACTTAAAAATTAAAGAAGTTTATCAAACCAGTTTGAACTAAACAAAACAAAGTTTCAATAGATATTCTAAATCAGATTTGAAAAATAATATTTTATCTTCCTGATAGATTGATATCAGTAACACTTATTTATCAGAATTATTATCAATAATTTATCATTGTAAATTATCTCAAAAAATTAAAATTAGAATACTATGAAAAAGAATGAAAGAAAAAAATAAAAATAAAAATAATTTAAAACTTATAACTTATTTAATAATATTTATATTATATTTAACAAAAATCTTTTTAAATTTATAAATTTATTCAATAATTGTATAATATAATTTATTTTTATCTTTATATGAATTATTTCAATTATATTTTATATATAATAAATATACAATATAATCAATTTTTTTTTTTTTTTTTTTTAAACGGCAACTCAGCCTTGTTTTATTAAAGTTTCAAGTCATGGCAAATGAATGTATATATAAGAAATGGTTACTAATAAACCAATCCTAGAACTGTCTATAAGTAGTTAAAATTTTACACTACTACTATTACTTTGATTCCATAAGCTAGTTACTCTTTGAGGGCTTCATCAGTTGAAGGCGTACTACCTGTTTCTCAGCTACTTTCAGTATCTCCATATTGTGAAATTCTAGTTACTCCAATTCACGGGATGGCTTGTTGTCAGGGAGAATAACTTGGATCAATCTAATTCACACATCAAGAAAAAAGATTCATCAATTCTCCTAGATTCTCCCTAACTAACATGCTCAGGTGAGACACATCGTCCTCAAAAAAAATTTGATCCCCTTATGTCTTGCTTGCCATGCAACCCAACTTTGTCGCAGGAACTTTGTTTTCGAATCTTTACCTATTCGATGAAGCTGAAGAAGGAACCTACTCAGTGACTAGGATTTGATAACTACAACTATAAAACTTAGTTGTAGTATCTTGTGACCTTTACCATGGTCGGATAAACTCTTTCTTGAAGGAACCAATGATGTAAATGGAGAGGTGTCCTATATCCATCTGCACCAGTACAATGACTTATGGTGAACCCCAGGTTCTTATGGAGCTGAGGAAATGCATTTAGACACGTAAGGTGATCAATAGGAGTTTGTTTATTTTCTTTTACTAATGTGAGCTCTATCTGTCTAATTACGGTGTGAGAAACTTTGTGTTACTCAAAATTCATGGTCAAACTGAGGTAGGCAAAATTCCCCAGAAAAAATTAAGAACGAGCACTATGAGAAGCCAACAAATGACAAGAGAGTGGAAAAGTTGTCT